CTGGGCAGGTGACTTTAAGTTGTCTAAATGTACAGTGAAAAGCTAAGTCTCCTGCTTTGAGAAGTCTATTGCTTCAGTTTCGCTTTCTCAAGAAATGAGAGAAGGTCTTTGAATATAATTGTTCTCATTTCAACACGTGCCCCCAAAATGTTGGTAACTAAGCTTGCTTCTGTGAGGTAGAAAGCCAGTGATGATAATTCCCTTTTTGTGGAAGAATTATTGGCCTATGGAGGCTTTTTGCGATGACTTTCTACTGCAGATGTGAATGCCCTGTGTTGTGTGTGAGAACTGGAATGCCTATGAATATCTGTGCTAAAATGGAATGGCTAGGCTCAGCTAGCTCCAGTTCTTGTGGTGAAGTGGATACCTGCCTGTCTCTGACTGAAAACAACAGTAAATCCTTGCTTACCTCCAAAAGAAAAGGATGCGGTGTCTATTCCTGTGCTTGAGCCTTGTTCCCTTGCTGCTGATCTTGTTTCGTGGGTAACACAAGAAGGGAGAAAAATGATCCCGTAAACAATTGGCTGTTTGGCATGGCAAGCTCTGTGAAAGAAACACTTCATAGGCTTAGTAACAAACACTTGCATTTCTGCAGTAAGTAACTTGTAAGTGTCAGACTGGCTTTACTCACTGAATGAAGTCACCTGCTGTGGTGCCGATGTCTGTATCTTTGCAGCTGTATTTCTGGATAGAAGTTTCTTGAGCTCAAAGGTGGATGAGCTGGCTGGAGAGGGGAATGGCAGCAACTGTCTTGCAGGAGAAAAAAAGACTCTTCCTTTCTTAAGATGAGTTCACTGAGCGCTCTCTGGTTTCTTCCTAGATAATCTGAACTAGTGTTTCTTGGCAAAACCCTTTTGTGTGGAATCTTGGGAAGTTAGTTATTGTGAATCTTTGTCCCCAGCTGAGGCTGAGCTCTAACATGAATGACAAAAATACTCTGTGCTTACTTCTTGAGCTTGTCTGGGTCTCTTTGGATTGCATCCTCTTCCTTAAGTGCATTAGCTGCGTTGGACAGTGTGGTGTCACCTTCAAACTTGCTGAGGATACAGTTGATTCCACTGTTGGTGTCGCTGATGAAGGTATTAAAGAGCATCATCACTGTGTGGCTTCTAGGCATGGATTTGTTTTCCTCATCTGCTGAACAGCCTGGCCATCAAATCTTTGCAGTGCTGGAGAGAAGGTTGTTGTGGGGGACAGCGTCAAAAGCCTTACCGAAATCCAGACAGTTGACAGCAGCAGCTCTTGCCTGGTCTGCTCACCCCGTCGTAGGAAGAAAGGCCAGTAGATTGTTCAGACAGGATCCACCCTTGTTGAAGCCAGGTTGGTCTCATTTCATTTCTCTCCTCTGTGTGCCATAGCACGGATTCTGGGAGGATCTGTTCCATGATCTCCTCCAGTATGGAGACAAGGCTGACAGGCTGGCAGTTTCCTAAGTCCTCCTTTATACTCCTCTTAAAAATCAGCAGGACATCACCCTTTTTCCAGCCTCCACGAGGACTTCACTCGAGTGCCCTGACTCCTGAAATCCCATCGAGAGTGGCTTGGCAGCTGCGTACACCGATTCTCTGAAGGCTCTGCGATGCGTTTCATTGAAACCCGCCAGGTTCCTCAAGCGGCTGCGAAGCTGATCTTTGCTTACGGTGGGAGGGATGCAGTCCTCACCTTTCAGCCGCTGCACTCAGGGGGGCGGTGAGGAGCAGCTGACAGTAAAGAAAGAGGCAGAAGTGTTAAGTACCTCAGCTTTCTCCTCTTCTATTATTAACAGCCTGCCTGTATTGCTCACTGGGGTGTGTATGCCGGCCTGGACTTTGTTTTGTCTTGTTTACCTGTGTTTTTCTTGGCAGTCCAAGTATGCTGCAAATTTGTCAGCATCTATTGAAGTAACACAGGGCTCTATCAGCAATGGAAGCAATACTGCCTTGAGGATAAACAGTTACTAGAGTTCTAGAAATAGCAAAGCACTGAAGTTACCAGTCTCACAGGTGTTTCAAAGGTACTAAAATGTAAACCTCTGATAGAAAAAACAAATAAAAAAAGTCAGTATTTGCTAGTCTTAACTGCACTGTGACATTGTGGCATTTGCTTTATAAAACAAGACCTGTCATATAAAATGTAGAACTATAGATAAATGCTGAAAAGAATGTCTCCTTGGCAATAAACAAAATGCTGGTACAGGTCTGAGTGGTGGTGACTTTCTGCTGTGCAGTGTGGTGATACAGCAGTGCTCCATGCTCGCAGGAACACTGCAAAAAGCAGCAGCTCCAACTGAATTTCAGGGACATTAAGAACTAAGTTTCACTCTCCTCCTCAGAAGGAGGAGGGATGTATGCTGGAAAAGGCTGTGCTAGTTTGAGTGCTGTAAAAAGTTCTTTGTATAACAAGGCAGAAGATTTGCCAGCAGTTCGGCACAATCAAGGACAAAACTAAAAGAAAATCTCTTTGGCTGGATGCAGAAAAAAAAAAAGGTGAGAAAAATTAAATTAAAAAGCCACCATGAACCCAGTACCACAAGCTTCCTTTAAACAGTTTGGTGAAAAGCGACAGCCCTTATTATTTACTTTTCCCCTCTCTGTCTCTAATGTGTTCCTCCAAACTTAAGCACACCAAAAGTGGTTTTCCATATTCACGCCACAGAATACTTTTTAAATACGGGCTTGTGACCTGAAGGAGCAGCATCACAGAGGATGTAGTGCAGATGAGGGCAGGGCAAAGCATGCTTGCAGAACAAGGTCAACCTTCAGCATACCTTAAACTGGATAAGCAGTTGCCTGTGGGGCACACGGAACCAAATATTTCTGTAAAAACCAGTGAGTGCTGCCCCGTGGGTGCCAACAGGATTTCACGTAACAGTCACATTCACATCTAAATTAACACAGCATAAAACTGAAGTTCCTTGAGTAACCCCAGTCACTGTGATTATGTATTTCTGATTGAATATCTGACCTTAGCATTTGATTGGCAATGAGAGCTAATTCAAGATCTACAGATATTTGAGATCTGTTCCAGTGCTCAAACAGCAGAGAGGCTTCCTAGGTGCCGGGACACCTGCATGCAATCTGTACTTCAAAGAAAACACAAAACATGACAAGGGATGAGCCTGCTTGCTGTGTGTGCTCTGGGTTAAATTACTCATTCCTTTTGAGCATCCGCATTGCTACCACAGAGGAATAGTAGCACTTACTGTTCAGGTCAGTGTTTGCAGAAGTACACTTTTCAGATAAGCTCTCACCGACATAAAAAGAATCCTCCTTGGATGTAATTTTCATAAATCCCACAGTCCTCTGTACTTAGCTGAGGTTTATATAACCTAAAGGATATACCAGCAGAGCACAGCATAATTTGGAGTACACTGCATGGTGGGGTAGGAAGTTTTCTTAGCTCGTGCAGTATTAAGAGAGAAGGCAGATCATTCCTTACTGAATACTGGCAGAGATTTCCGTAAGAAAAGGTGATTTTTTTTCTGCCTTACCCATCAGATTTTCAGTATCTGACCTTCAGAGTAGCTTTATTTCTGCCCCGAGCATTTTTTCCTTTTTACCTAATTTTGGGCACCTTTATCATCACTCTCTGCATATAAATATATATACATATATATATATAGGTCAAAGGAAGCATTTAATGCTTGACTTCCAGTTGTACCCAGCTTAACCCTCATTAAAAGTACAACTCTTTATGTCCTTAGTCCACAGTATTGCAAACAGAAAATAAATACAGTTTTAGCAGCTGTGGTGCAGAAGTTATATTTACCTATTGTTTTATCCAATGACATAATATTGCAGTATTATGTTTGCACTCATAGGGGTTATGCACTTCTCCACGTGTTTAATCAACCTCAATAAGTGCCTTAATGCTGCTTCTTCCTACCATAAATATGATAACACTCAAAGCTGGTAGTTCAGCTCTTTTCTCTCTACAGCCCAGTAATCTGAAATAAACCTCACCTGAAAATGGAGTAAATGACTCTCCTCGCTTGTGCTCTTATGCAGTACGTTCCTTGAGCTTACTCTATTGTTTCTTTGCACTTGTAGTTGGTTTTCTGAAGCGTTCGTTTTGTTTTTCCCCATGCCCACGGTCCAGAGCAGCATCACTACATGTTGTGTGAATTCAGCAGCCGGTTTGGATGTTCAAGTTGCACAGTGCAGTGGAAGCATACTGAGTGGTGTAGGTGGAACTAATGATGCAGTTGGAATGGAAGCCCACGCTGCGTCTCTAATTTACCGACACCAAACTATTTTGCGCTGCAAAGCATACAGAGCTACGTGTACCCTCTAGAAATCTTTATGCTAGTAGGTTTTAGGAAGGACAAGGCTGCAGTGGTTGCTTGTCAAATCTATCAGTTTTAACGTTCTGGAGTTCTCCAGAGACTGGCGCTATCTTCTCAACAGAAAAGCTGCCACGATTCCAGTGGATTTGTGTTGGGATGACAGCGCATGAAAGACACGAGCACAATTACCGTTGCTCATTTTCAACCTTTCAAAAGTATTAGTATTTTTTCAGGAGAAGCCTATAAATTCATATCATTGAAGTAGAAAAAAGACCCTGAATGAGAAAGTTGAGTTTAAAGTGAGCCATGTTACTGAGAAGAGAAAAACTCCTTGGAAAAATCCTAGTTGTTGCTAAGTACTGCCCCTGTCAACTCAGACCACCCCAGCAT